TGTATTCACGTCTACACACTAATCTATCAGTCTAGACAAGTGATTTAAAAAAAAACAACAACTTAATTCAGTTAATGCACAAAGCTAACTGAATATCCTTGTGCCAGATTTAATATTTCCTGTGTTTGAAAGATGCTAGAACTTGCCATGAGATCAATGTTTTTAAAAGTCAATCTATTTATTAGCAAAATGATTAAGTAGTTTATATTTTAAATTTAGCTTTTGTGCCATTCTTACAGGAAGACATACACAATAAATCTACAGCATGATGCAAATGTTTCAATAGCAAAAAGAAATCTTAGCACAGGTCACTATTTTCCTGGGGTCCTGGCTATGATCTTTTGGGAGTGTATTATATTTTTAAGCATATTTCCATTGATTATCTATTTGTTCTTAGAAGACTGCAGACATCAAATGACTAATTAGAGAACACATGACGATCACAGTCTTCCTCTAGCAAAAATGACCAAAAGAGGTTCTTTAGGGTTAAATTATAATCTTTTCTTAGGTTATATATATTTGCTAAGCTATTGCAGCTATGTACTTTGTTCATCATCTTGCTGTTAAAGATTGTAAAATGCTGAGTCTAGGGCACTTCATTCTGGTACCTAAATACAAATAGGTGTGAAGAAATGCCTGTTTTTTCATCATGCAGGGCCACCGGAGCAGAGTCTTGAAAAGCTTCTGCAAATTTGCACAGGGCCAAATTAGCCATTTGTTAATGTCTTTTGAATTACTCAAGTCTCTGTTTAGTGGAGATTTTTTTTTTTTTTTTGTAGATACAGGTAGGTCACCACATGGATGCAGCTTCCATGTGAACTATGGCTGGTGTGCCTGTGGGTGTCTTTGCACTTTGTCATATGTCCTGGGCCATGCAGACCATATCTTCCTCCTGTTCATCTGTCCCACCTTGTAATAAAATCCCCATCTGCCCTGCAATAAAATCCCCCAGGCATGTTGTTGAGTGGGAAGTTACCAAGTGACAGTGACACATTTATGCCTTTATTTTTATTAATTGAACTGGTGCCTGCTTCCTGCCAAAAGCTCTGAGGAAATGCTGTACTAATCATTTTATCTTATAAACAGAGTTCCTGTATTCACAAAAGGCTTCACTGAACTTTGGCATCAGCTTCCAAGCACATTTACCAGTGTCACAGTGACAAAACCCAATGAGTGCCTCATGAAAATGGATCGGAGAAGAAATAGCCTTGTATCTTGTAAGGGATAAAAAGAAAAAGGTATTTTGAAAGGTAAGCGACAGAACAGACCATGACCCTATGTACAATGCATTAATAACATCTGTCTTTCCTTATTTATTTATTTTTTCTTTTTGTTCTTATTCAAATTTTAAATACAAGAATAGAGTATACTACATCATTTCTGGCAGAAAAGCCCAAGGGCTAGACACTTTTGTAATGTGGAACCAGCAAAAGAAAAGTGTTAATAACTATTTTAGACAAGCCACTGGTCATAGCTTTTTTAGCTTTCTGAGCCAAAAGCTCTTGCTAGTTCTGCCTGTAGCAGAAAGCTCTGTGACCTGGGTAGGAAATACTGGGTGAAGGCATGCCAAACCAAACAGGAGTAGCTTTCAGGCAGTGCTTCTCAGTATGTTACCCATACACTGAGCTGTACAGACAAAAATTATTTACACACTTTGAAATGCAGTGGGGTATGTGAGTCAACAGATTAACTGGCTGTTATTCCTTGGTATATTGTAAAGGAAAAATCTTGCTTTTGTATGCAAATTCACAAACTCTCCAGTGTGATTTCTGAATGAACTGCTGTGCCAAGCACAAGTTTGCTGCTTAAATGGATGGACAAAGGCAACATATGTATACTTTTCCATGATTAAGTTAACTCTGTGGTTATATCCCCCTTTACCTACTGCCAACTAAGAGGCTGAATTCCAATCACATAACAGATATATATTCAGGTTTATAGAGTGCAAATTTGTGAATAAATCAATGCAACACTTGCTGCAGATAAAAATAGCAAATTCTTTTCTCACTATCTCTGAACTAGGCTCAGAACACCTTCTGTACCAGAAAAATAAAATAAATATCAGCTGAACCTACAACTTAGCTGTATCTGTGACTCTTGTTCTAGATCTACAGTCACAGCTATTACAGAATCTGCTTTTTGCAGTCAAAGTGCATTTTATCCCTGCCTTGTGTTTGTATATATTCTTTCTGGGGAGCCTTTAGCTTCTCTTTCTTGGCCTGCATAGTATATAGGCCCCCACATACCACTGCTGAGAAACTGTTCAGCCTCTGGACTGTTCACAACTTTTCCTGCATTTGTCAATAATTGTAAGAAAGCAGAGACTGTTGTGTCTTTAAGACAAACTCAAGCAGAACAACCACCATCTTATCCAACAGACTTCTTTGTGTCATGCAGTTTGTAGCGTCCAGGGGCGTCCAGTAGCTGGCTTAGAGCAGCCAGTTATGTCCCTGTTTGAGTTAGGACAAATGATTATTGCCTGTACTCAGGTCCAAGAGGGAGGAAGTTTGGGTTTCTGACTCCCAACAGCCTGCTTTACAAACCTGGAGTCCACATTGTGATTTTAAACATTAAAAAAAAAAAAAAAGAAAAGAAACCACTCTGCAAGAAGAGTGATCCACAGTGCTGGATGAGTACGGAGCTATTGGGGAATTATTCCCACTCCTCACTCTCATGAGGCGTGGAGGTTAAATATGAATTGTCATTGCTGTATTGCCCTTCTAACAGTAGCTCCCAGACCAGACCACTCCTGCTCCTCATACCCCAACCTTCATGCAGAGCTGATCTGGGAGCCACATCTGATCCTGGGGGTCAGGTAGTGCCTCCCTGTTTTTAGGGCAGCACTATGGTCCCTTCACTACTACATGATGCAGTGCACAGCTATCCCATGTCTTTCTGAAAGTGCATCACAGCCCATAATACTGGAGCCACTGGAAACCAGCTTAGGGAAATATGTACTTGTAAACTAAATTCATTTAATCCCTTTCATCTCTCTGCTTTTCTCCTCTAAGCATGAGTCAAAAGAATTTTAATCCTTCTCATGCAGGCCAGAGAAGGCATTGAGGCCAGCAGCTGGTCCACACCTAGCAGAGCTGCTGCCACACTTTATGTTCTCATTCTGCCTTAACAAACTCTCATGCATGGCCAAAATAGACAAGTCCTTAGAATTGCTTGGATGCTTCAAAAGGCTTTGAAAGGTCAGACCAAAATCTTTACCAACTCTTGCTAACTAGCCTTCTTCCTCAATAGAGGACAAAAGACTCATGAACTCTGCAAGACTTTCTTTATTCTGCTCTCCTTCTTGCAATTTAAAAGATTCCCTCTGTCCTTTACAACACTGTTGGATATTGCTTTGTACTGATGATTTCCAGTGAGCTTGACATCATTACCTATTGGGCTCCTGGTAGCAAGGAAAAAGTAAAAAAGTAAATTTTAGCTTTTTCTTTAAAGATGATTCTCAGCAAGTTGTTGTTTAGTCTTTGAAAAATCATGAAAGAAGCATAGCTTGAGGTGGGAAAAAGCAGCAAATAATTCCAGATCACGACTATTATCTGGGGAATATTTGACTATAGAGAGAACTGTAGATCTTTTATTAGTATCAGCTTGATGAGTCTATTGAAGTTTCTCCACAAAGTACAGAAAGTCACATGAAAAAAGGAACACATACTAATTTTGCTCTTTCTTTGTGCCATTATGTGAGGAAGGCTGCAAATAGCAGAAGTGTGTAATTGCTAGTTACACTCCTTTCTGTTGAGCAATTTGTCTTTTTTTTTACACCCAGGGTTGCCATGCAGAAGTTGGGGAGATCTCAGTGCACGAAAGCACTGAGTTATACATGGCTTATGAACTTTTTACCTCCTCTGCCTGAAGTGCAAGGAAAACTGTGTGCTGCATAAATCCAGCTGGCTTGTGGATAGTGGATTTATTTCCTGCATAAGTCCTTAAGCTCTCTCATAACATCTACCAGCACAGGTGTAATTGACTTGAGAAATCACCCCCTGGGCTCTTTTGAAAGCCAGAACTCTTCTGGCTGTTCCTTGCACACAGTCGCCCAGAACAGTAGAGAAGAGCTAACAGAGTGCCCTATTCTGCTCTTCCTCTTTGCCTGCTTAACACTTTCCTGAGGGGACACAGTCCTGTGTCCCATGGCAGGGTACCCAGCAGCCATGGAGCCCTGCAGGCCCCTTGGACAGACCCCTGCCACTGTGTTTTATTTGGTTGGGAATGAAGAACTCCAGCAATCTGGAGCAGAGCCATGTTTTGGTACAAAGAGCCTCTCTTAAACAGGGTGTTTGGGTCTGCATGGGCAGGTCTTGGCTGCTCAGTTTCACAGAAAAACAGTACTGTAAAAACAAAACAAACAAACAAAAGCCACGTCCTTGGCTGAAGATAAACTCAGCAAAGTAAATTCAATCCTTTGAAAATGTAAATATTAATTTAAACTTTCATTTTAACAGCACCCTTGGGTCTGTTGCCCTTTGGCTGGATACCTCCCCTCTCTCCTCTGCTGCTGGGCAGCACTACTGGGATGGGAGCCCATCCTTTCTACAGTACAGGGAACAAGTTGCTCAAGGTAGAAGGAAGCTGTCCTCATAGGAGTCTTGTCTCTGGGATCATGACATGTGCAAAGGAAAAGGCTTCTGAGTTGGACTATGAGAAGAATCTGCTGAATGCCAAGCAGGCCATGCAGTCTCACCAGACACTCCAAGATGTGGCTGAGCCTCGATGTTAAGCAGCTTTTAGCATGTCTTTGAGCTCTCTCTCTGTCCCAGACTCACAGCAGCACTGTGAAAGATGATGCCTTATCTGACTGCTCAACTCTATAGTCAAGAAGAACAGGAAAAGAAAAAAGGTAAAAAAAGAAGGAAAAAAAAAAGGTAAGAAGGAGATGGAAAGAAGAGGCTGAGATAAGAAAAGCATGGTGGCAGGCACTTAAATTTACCTCTTTTCTGATGTTTATGAAAATAGCCGAACCTAAGAGAGGCCTCAAGTACACTGGCACTCTGTTGGGTGCAAAATGTCTCTCAAAGAGAGGACAATGAGGTCCAGTGGCTCTGGGTAGGGATCATTGCTAAAGATTACCACCCTCCTGCACCTCTTCTGAGCATCTCTGTGACACTGTGGATCTCCCAAAAATATGATGATTGCTGTTTGACCCACCAGTTAAGAATAATTTACAGTGCAGCAGTTTTGGCCCAACAGTCCCTTCTCACACATTCCCCCTTCTGAATATGTATGATTTTAATGGAGTTTGTGGACATGTGTTTCTGGATTAATCTTGTGTTTCTGTGAATAAAATTTATTAGTTCATATTGACCATGTTATTTTCCCAGCTGAGCTGTTCTTTGGGCAACTTGAAATTCAGGTGTCTGTACTTATATTGTGCTGAAAGGCATGATTCCCAGTAGATGGGAAACCTGCTGTGCCTGCTTGGAGAGGGACCTTTTTCATCTCTGCCCAGCAAAGAGAGGAATTTTAAGTCAACCTGGCTTTCCATCCTCAGTTTGTAATTCTGTTGCTAAGTGGCAATGAAAGAAGATTATCAGCTCACAGATTAACAGAAACCTCTATTCAGTGCTCATGTGTAATTATACATTTCAGTTACATACTTGAGAGCTGAGCTTTAGCTTCTGTGCTCCTACCTCAGCCTCACCCCACCAGAGATTTTTATCCTCAGGGTCTGATCAGGATTCTGATAAATTTGCCTTTCTTTTCCACACTCAGCCTCTGCACCCTGGGGTGGCTCTGCATGCAAGAGTACCCCGAGGGTCTCTACTCTCAGGGTGGGTCTCAGAAACTAAAGTCCTACTCTAGTCTTTTGAAATTATTTATTTTGGGAGAAAGCAGGAAGAGCATATAAAATGGTCTAAAGAGTTCAGAACCTTCAGAGGTTACCTATTTGCTTCCTCCAATAATAAATTCCCTCTATTTTTTTCTCTCTTTTCCAAGCTAATATGTTCCACTGTCTCAGCCAAATTGGCCAAGCAGCATCAAAAAGTGGAGGAAGACACAAGCCTGAGTGCCTGAGGTAATTATTAAATGTTGAGGGTGAACCTCTGGCAGAAATTTTTTAGAGTGGGTTTTGAGGGGAACACAGTGGAAAGGGCACAGAAAAATCAGGAGACAGCATATCTGGCTAATGTTGGGAATGCAGACAGAAAAGGGAAGGAGAAGTGTGGGAAGGAGATGTAATTTGTCAGCTGTGAGGAGAAGGTGGTAATACACAGCATATACATTCATAGTACAAGTGTGAGGAGCAAAGGCCCCCTTTGTAGGAAAAAAATTTTGATTATTTTAAGTAGAAAAGCTGCACCAGCAAGAACCATGCAAGGCACAGGAGACAGAAGAAGGGCAGAGCTGTGTGGGGGCCCATCTCTGTAACTGAGCAGGAGGAAAGAACATGAACTAAGCATTTAACAGGAGCAAGGAAGGGGGATGGGTAGAGGAATCGCTTGGTGTAAATTCAAGTAAAAGGAAAAAATGGCATGGAGGGATGGTGAGAAACACGAGCTGCAAAAACAACATAAGGGAAGGCTGTGTGCAGGGGGAGAGGATGCACTTTCAGGCGGTGATGGCCCTAGACTTTTATACAAATAAAACACAGAAACAGAAATCAGAATGTATAGAAAAGCAAATCTGTTGGCAGTTCAATATACCTGCTTTACAGGGGACTGGTATTTTCAAAGTCTTAGGCTCAAGTCTCCAAGGGAAGCAGCAACTCAAGAACAAACAAGGCTGAAATAATATTTTCTGAGTCAGTCTCTGTGTTTTAAACTGTAACTGACATTAAACATGTGCTGCTCCTATGCCTACTCAAGACTTGGTTTGCTGGACATCCTTTTATAGAGCTCTTTTGCGAAGGAGACACTGGGTTTTTTTGGTCCCAGATTTTAGTAGGAATGAATACACACTGCCCTTTTATTCTGAGGAGCTTGTGTAATTCTCCTGTCAACCCACTCTGCTGGAGCTTTGCATGCAATTTCTCTGTGGAGGTAAATGTGCTGTTTCCAAACAGGACACCGCACTCACTAAGATAAGTTTTAGCTCAGTGGCTGGAGCAGGGTAGATAGTGCCTAGAGCAATGGGTTCAAAAACACAGGGTAAACATTCACTTTGTGGCTCCTACACCAGAACAGATTTTTCCCATGTATATTATGCATCTCCTTCAGACTCAAAGAGGAGAATTGGCAAACTGCAGGAGGTATTTGCTGCCCTTGAGGTTTGGGCATAGCATCCTGGGTGAGTACAGGATGCTACTTCCTTTCTTTCTTCATCTGAATCAATTAGGATCTGAGACATGTTTTTTTTTGAATTTCAGTATGAAGAGGTAGCATTGACTTTATCATGGACCATGGCCAATGGACCACTCCAGAAGTAAGGGCCTGGAAGAGCTTGCCATGTGGAGGTGGTGGAAACCAGAGAAGTGAGCAGGCAGATTAACCAGCTTGTACTTCTGAGCAGTGATATATAGCTTGTGATTGCTGGCCCCATGAGCAGCCTGCTTTTGGGGAAAAAAAAAAAAATTGTGAAGTATCTGGTTGGGCCCTTTCTTCTGAAGTAATTTTGGAAGGAAGAAAACTACTTTTCAAAAATAGAGAGCATTCTCTTTTCATTCCTACAGACACCCTGCCATCCTGCTGTTTTTGTGGTTAGTCATCTGCAGTCTAAACTCCAACTTTAACCAGAGCTATCAAATACTAAATTGCTTGTACCCATGAAAAAATAAATTACTAGGACTATGTCAGCCTTGCTATTTGCCAGAGTATTCAGTTATGACAGGATGACTAATTTATCCTTGACCTTGTAATTACAAATGTTCCCCTATATGATTGATGTGATTTACAGAAATGCCCATTAGAATACCGCTTGCCTCTCATGCCAGGCTGAGCTCACAAGGAAAAGAGATTTCTGGGCCCTCTCATGGTGTCCCTGCCTAGATGTTGAGGAGACTACCAAGCAAACTCTGATAAAGCAAACACAACAGTGCCTTCATGGCAAAAAGGGTCTGTCTTGACCCTAGGTCAAGTTTAGTTTCCTTTTACAAATATTCCAGAATAGTGAGGTGGAAAAAGAAAGAAGCACTGATAAAGGAAAAATTATAAAGCATGGACAGAGAAAAGGGGTGGAAAACACACAATAAGGCAAAGCACATAACAAGATTTTTATTTTTCTGAGGGGACATCCTCTGCTATATTGTGCTGTATTTTTTATCAATCACTTCCTAATTTTTGCTGATTAAAAAAAAATAGACATCCATAAGAGGTAGTTTTCTGAAGATGTCACTGGTAGGTTGCTCATTTTGACTTAGAGTGATAGCCATACAGAAGCTACCACACAGTGAACTGTGGTGCTAGGATGCTTTTTTGTCTCCTGTAGCTTGACTCGTCACCTGTATAAACCCAGTACACGGGTAGAGCTATCTCAGATTAAAACTACACAAGGCTGAGAAGAAAAAGAGTGATGGAAATGGGGATAAAGATGTTGCTCTGACATTACTTGATGATTAGAGTGCTGATCCCTCAGGGCACTGTTTGTTAGCTGTAGTTCTAATTAATCAGGTCTTGTATTGTTTCTCTTTTCATTACAGAATGCATCAAAACTTCTGAAAGAAAAATGCTGTAGGGAGTCCTAAGGGAGCAATCTTTTGAGAGCTGGAATGTGCTGGTATGTTGCCAAAGAACATCTTATTTAAGAGATCAATGACAAAGCCGGAAAAAAAATCGCTATTGTTTGGAAGGGATTTGTTACCGACATGAAAGGAAGCACTAGAAGAGAGAGGCTGTATTGCAGCCCAGGACCCTTTGTTCCATGGGCTTTGCTGAGCGCAGCTGGGCACAGCTTAGCGTCACTAACGATGCGCTCGCAACAGAACCAAAAACCTTTCGCGTGAAACGGGGCTGGAGCGGTCTCGCCGGCAGTGGCGTGCGGTGTGAGGGCAGCTCTGCAGCCCTGCGCTGCCCGTCCCTGCAGAGGTGTCCCTGCAGAGGTGTCCCTGCAGAGGTGTCCCTGGCAGAGGTGCCCCTGCAGAGGAGGTGTCCCTGCAGAGGTGTCCCTGCAGAGGAAGTGTCCCTGCAGAGGTGTCCCTGCAGAGGTGTCCCTGGCAGAGGAGGTGTCCCTGCAGAGGTGTCCCTGCAGGGGTGTCCCTGCAGAGGTGTCCCTGGCAGAGGTGTCCCTGCAGAGGAAGTGTCCCTGCAGAGGTGTCCCTGGCAGAGGTGTCCCTGCAGAGGTGTCCCTGGCAGAGCAGGTGTCCCTGCAGAGGAATTGTCCCTGCAGAGGTGTCCCTGCAGAGGTGTCCCTGCAGAGGTGTCCCTGCAGAGGTGTCCCTGGCAAAGGTGTCCCTGCAGAGGAAGTGTCCCTGCAGAGGTGTCCCTGCAGAGGTGTCCCTGGCAGAGGAGGTGTCCCTGCAGAGGAGGTGTCCCTGCAGAGGTGTCCCTGCAGAGGTGTCCCTGCAGAGGTGTCCCTGCAGAGGTGTCCCTGGNGTGAAACGGGGCTGGAGCGGTCTCGCCGGCAGTGGCGTGCGGTGTGAGGGCAGCTCTGCAGCCCTGCGCTGCCCGTCCCTGCAGAGGTGTCCCTGGCAGAGGAGGTGTCCCTGCAGAGGTGTCCCTGCAGAGGAGGTGTCCCTGCAGGGGTGTCCCTGCAGAGGTGTCCCTGCAGAGGTGTCCCTGGCAGAGGAGGTGTCCCTGCAGAGGTGTCCCTGCAGAGGTGTCCCTGGCAGAGGAGGTGTCCCTGCAGAGGTGTCCCTGGCAGAGGTGTCCCTGACAGAGGAGGTGTCCCTGCAGAGGTGTCCCTGCAGAGGTGTCCCTGGCAGAGGTGTCCCTGACAGAGGTGGTGTCCCTGCAGAGGTGTCCCTGCAGAGGTGTCCCTGCAGAGGAAGTGTCCCTGCAGAGGTGTCCCTGCAGAGGTGTCCCTGCAGAGGTGTCCCTGCAGAGGAAGTGTCCCTGCAGAGGTGTCCCTGCAGAGGAAGTGTCCCTGCAGAGGTGTCCCTGGCAGAGGAGGTGTCCCTGCAGAGGTGTCCCTGCAGAGGTGTCCCTGGCAGAGGAGGTGTTCCTGCAGAGGTGTCCCTGCAGAGGTGTCCCTGGCAGAGGTGTCCCTGCAGAGGAGGTGTCCCTGCAGAGGTGTCCCTGCAGAGGTGTCCCTGGCAGAGGAAGTGTCCCTGCAGAGCTGTCCCTGCAGGGGTGTCCCTGCAGAGGTGTCCCTGGCAGAGGAGGTGTCCCTGCAGAGGTGTCCCTGGCAGAGGTGTCCCTGGCAGAGGTGTCCCTGGCAGAGGAGGTGTCCCTGGCAGAGGAGGTGTCCCTGCAGAGGTGTCCCTGCAGAGGTGTCCCTGCAGAGGTGTCCCTGGCACCTCGCTGATGCGGCCCCGCCGCCGCTGCCCCGCGGGCCGGGGACGCCGGGCTCGGGCTGCCACCTGCTGGCCTCGGGCACCGCTCGCACCCCTGGCGTTTGCCTCCAGTTCTAGGAACAATGCACCTTGCTGCTGTTGTTGTTTTGCTTGGTGGGGCGGGAACTTCCCTGCACAGAAGGGCCAATGGAATCCTGGAGTGCACCAGAAGAATGTGGCCAGCAGGTTGAGGGAGGTGATCTTCCCCCTCTGGTCAGCCCGAGTGAGGCCACATCTGGAGTGCTGTGCTCAGTTCTGAGCTCCTCAGCACAAGAGAGACAAGGAGCTACTGGACAGGGTCCAGTGAGGGTAACAAAGATGATTTGGGTCTGGAGCATCTCTCTTACAAGGAGAGATGTGGGAGCTGGACCTGTTCAGTCTAGAGGAGACTGAGAGGGGATCTCATTAATCCATATAAATATCTTAAAGACAGGTGTCAAGAGGGTGGTGCCAGGCCCTGAAAGCAGTGCCCAGACACAGGACAAGGAGTAATGGCCATAAACTAACACTCGAGACATTTCACCTCAACATGAGGAGGAACCTTTTTCCATCGAGGGTGGCAGAGCACTGGAACAGGTACCCAGGAAAGTCATGGAGTCTCCCTCTCTGGAGATGTTCAAAACTCACTTGGACACATTCTTGTGTAACCTACTCTAGGTGATCCCATCTTGGCAGGGGGGCTGGAGTAGATATCTCATGAGATCCTTTACAACCCTAACAATTCCGTAATTCCATGAAGGAAAGATTTAATGGTTCTCCTTTGTGAAATGTGTTACACCTTTGGTGCCTCCTGGGGAGCAGCTGGTCATCTGTTGGTAATAAAGATAACAAACAAATTATTTTATTTTCTTTTCACTGACACCAGGAAAAATGTCAGCCATTCCTCTGTTGCTATGATAAAGAAGCTTATCTGTAGTGGCAGACAGAGCCAGACATAATAAAAAAAAATACACCCAAAAAATAATTTTGTTACTGAAGTAAAGAAAAAAAATATATGCTGAAGACAGATTTCCATTTCTCTTCCCTTTGAAAGTCTGGATTTCTTTTTTAATGATCTGCAGACAAAGTTAATGCACTTAGATATTGTCAAACTCCAACTCCTCGAAACAAAAAAACCCATCCAGTCTGCTGGATGAGTAGTATTTCAATTCCTGTCGATCCTTTAATCTGGCTGTAGCGCACAGCAGGAAAAGGTAGACGTGGGAGAGAAACAAAGAGGGGTTATCTGAAGGGCAGGGCCTTCCAAAGGAGACTCTCTCTGAAATGAACCCTGGTGGTACTAACTGCTGATTTATTTGTGGTACAAATTCCTTCCAGTGCAGCAAACATTCCTCACAGAGTATTTCTCCCTAACATATAGCAGATAATTTTGTAAACTCACACTAAGCAGTATGTTCAGCACATTCTCTTCCAGAAACAATTTAAAAAGTAACAGCTTCTGTTCTTCTACACAATATTGTGACATATATTGTGTCACATTGTCCTTTTCTGCTAATCTCAAACTTCAGCTGATGCAGTAAGAGAGCCTCAAATTTTGTTCACAGCAGAAGCTCACTGCTTGGAGGCTTTCTACCTCAAATTATTTTATTTCTCCTTAGAGCACATCACATCAAGAACATTTTTTGTTCCATTCATGTGCTTCAAAAGTATTCATCTTCTTTTGTCATAGGTCAGAATACTCCTTCTCAGTGAAAAACCTGAATAAGATATCTGAGAAATAAGTGAAGACACTCTGGAACAACATCATGTCTGCCCTTCCCTTTGGATTTTGCACTGTGGATGAAGCATCCTGGCTCAGTCCCTTCCTTGCCCACTCCCTTCCTGCTTGCTGACAGGACAATGTGAGCAGCAGAAAAGGCCTTGACACTTTGCAAGTGCTGTTCAGCAATAACTAACACGTCCCCTATGTTAGCAGCACTGTTCAGGTCACAAATGTAAAGCAGCGCCACAGGTGCTCTATGAAGAAAATCAATTCTATCCCAGGCAAAAGCAGTACTATGGGATGCCAGACTGCACTAAAAATTATTAGAGTGATTTGCAGAAAGGGGATCACACTAATGGGGTGAGATCTCTGGAAAATGATATACTGAAATACATCTTTTAAGTGTGTTAGTGGATGTCTTGAAAGTTTATGATTTTTTAACCAGAATGTTCATTTAGATATCTCCTTCAAAAAACTTCCTTAATCTTTAATAGCCAACTACACTTCTATACTGACCTGGATTAATTTACAAGTCAAATTTTACTATGGCTGCTTTGCCAGCTTCTGTTATGGTGTTATTGTACTTGTAACTTCTTTTAATTTGACACTGCTTTGCAGGAATTTTCTCGAATTTGAAAGGTGAAGAACACAATGGAAAAGGAAGTTAATCTATTTTTTAAATTAGTTTAACCCTGTATTTTAAAAAAAATTCCTGTGCTATGTGTCTCACAAGGATTTTGAACTAATCTTTTGAAGTAACACAAGAAGAGTGAGTCAGGAAATTTATCAGAGTCTATAATGGTGGTTGACTCTATTCAAGTTGTAAGGGGTATTTTCATATGAGAGAAGACCTTGTTCAGTATCATTCTATCTTCCCTTTCTTTGATAAGGGCACCCTAACTAACATCAAGGAGGCTGTAAGGTCACTCTGTTTACACTTTGCTTCACATGGTATCAAATATTTAAATGCTCATTTATTCAAAGAACAGGGGTGTGTGAGAATGACCCCTGTGCTACTTGTTCAGGACATGGTCCTTGAGATCTGTTACAGTTTATTTATTAGGGACTTCATCTACCCCAGGTGACAGCTGTTTATCCAAAATTCAGGAAGCTCAACTACCAACCAATTCCACTAGCACCACCTGGAAAACTGTATTTGAAGCATTTTTTTTACCCATCTAACACTAAGTGTAATTTGCTTGCTTGCTTAAAGAGATGCCTGAAAAACCTCACACAGAACCCTGGCTGATATGGTTTCGTTTGTTTGTGTTAGGGAAATATATTTTATTCCAGTAAGCAGAGCATATATAGGGAGTTCCAAGATACCAGGACTATGAGAAATCAAATATTTGTATGGATTTGTATTTCATCTCTCCCACCTCATTCCCACAAAACCAAGAAATGGATGCCAAGGAAACTTTTCATTAACAGATCTATTATTTTGACAGTAATCCTCCTGGGGCTCTGATTCCAAAAGGATGTGAGAAGATTCCTGTCTTTTCTGCCACTGCAAAAATCAAGCTTGTTGGTTACAGAAGTGTAATGGAGGACAAAAAATAGCAAAACAGGGCACATTGGCAAATCTGCCCATCAGTAGGTGTGCCACTGACAGGTGTGTGATAGATCAGGTGAGATGCATCACCTGGGAGATGCAATTTGGCTCCATCAGAAAGCTGATGCTGTACGTACATAACTCCTTCTAGCTGGAAGCTCTGCTTTTAGTCTTATTTTCAAAAAAGAAGTAATTGGTAATACTTACGGAATAATAAAAATAATGAAGTAAATCTGTCTTAGAGAGCTTTTCATAAGGGAAAGAAATCTAGGGAAGCAAGGAAGGCACCAGCCTTCCTTGAGTGAGTGGCAAGAGAAGGCAGCAAAAACACCCAGCCGGAATGGAGGTTGTCCTTGTCCTGAGCTGCCACAGCTCTGTCCCTGGTACCCAGCCCAGGGTCTGTGCCCTCCTGCTGTGCAGTGCCATGTCACTGCCAGTCAGCTACTGCCAGCAGCTCAGTGTCTGCCACCATCCCATGCCCCACAGCTTTTTGGGAGGCTGGATTCAAGGCCTGAGGGAGACCCATCAGCTGGTACCAGCACTGTCTGCTCAAACTCCTGCTCTCCCCCAGAGTTTAAACTTCAGCCATGCTCCAAAGATCTTGGATAATCATTAGCCAGGGAACCAGCCAGGGAATCAATGCCAGGGAATCAATGCTGGTTTTGCGTAATCATTGTGAGGTGGTATCTCTGAGTTTTATTTGCTCTAGCAAGTAACCGATAACAGATCTAAGAGAAATAGTCTGATGAAACATTTGAAACATAGGTCAGAAACCAGCTTGGAGCTGAGGTGGGAAGGCTATAAACCCTCCTGCTTCCCCAGCAGCCACAGAACAAACTTTGCCATGTGGTTTTCCCCCAGCATGTCCACAGCACCTTCTGGAAGCACTCCTACCATATGGCTGAAGACACTTTCTATTATATATTTCAAGGAAATGAGTTTCAGGGCAATTTTAAAACCAGTGCTACCACTCCATACACATCAGTATCTAACAGAAAATAATGGACTAAGAAGAGGGAACATCTGCACAGTGTGATTCCCTCTCTCCCTGGGCTTCCCTAACTAATGTATAAGGTAATGTTGGAAGTTTTACCATTTGGCATATAAAAAAATTGCTTAGAATTACATAAAAATACAATTTTCAGCTGTGCGCAGGCCCCATTTCTTATAACATGCCCCCTTTCACCATAGCCTCTGTGGCTCCACAAATGAGTTGCTGTAAAAATGAGGATAGTTTCCTCTACATACCAGTCCCACACAATAGGGAACAAATATTCAGCTCTGCATTTGATTTTTGGCTGCCAAGGTGCTGAGCAATATGGCATGGTGGGGAGATCTGATCACCTGCAGTCAGTGCTGGCTCCTGGGGTGAGGCCATAAGGAGAAACTGGGAGCTGGTGACTGCAACCACTTTGTGTGGTTCAGGAGTCACACTGGCTACGTTTGTGCAGTTGTTTCTTGGCAGTGACTCTCACTAGTCACACTAGTTGGGTTGGGGCACTAGGCATGGCTTATTGGGCAATCAGGGCCCTGCCCCACATTATTTTTTTAATTCAGCGATTGCTGTCTGTACAGGGAAAGCAGAACACCAGTTCTTCTCATCTAGTCAACTTAATGCATCATTTTGCCTCAGGTGAGTGCTGTCCTGTTACAACTTGACACCAAGCCTCTCCTGGATCATGCCAAAATCCTTGTCATCCAGTCATCCATAGCAGCAGCCACCCAAAGATGCCTGTGAAAGAAGGTTTTCCTAACAGGGCTCTCAGTTTTTCCCATGGCTGGAAGCCATTTCTGTGTGTTCAGTAACCCCCAGTGCCTTGCTTCTCCATGCACATGGGCTTTGAAAATGTACCTGGAAACCCTGCAAACTCTGTGTGCTTTGAAAGCCTGCACTAGCAGCAAGCAGAGGCCAGCCTTCCTGCCTACCTGTATACCCACCTACCAACCTAGCTATATAAGGTAAGAAGGACAGATGGCTGTCTGTGCACTCTGAGCTCCCTGGAAGCTCAAAGGCCACCAGGAAGAAAGGGCCAACAGAGGAAACAGTGAGCACCACCAGCTCCTCCACTGCAGTGCACACTGAAAGAGTGATGCATTTTTGAGATGCCTCAAGGCCATAAGCACTTATCACTCTCCTAAGGATAGCAGCTGATTTACTTAGCATTTTAAAAGCTGATTTACTGCTGATAACCCTGACAAGCTTTAAACCTTTGATGGTGGACTATGGTAAAATTCCCAAGAAAGAATGGAGCCTGGAAAATATTGTACTGTCTTGTGAAATCTAACCTAGCTCCAACTAGATTCTGAGGGATGACACAGAAATACTTCCTTGTGGGTATCCAGGACACAGGCTCCATCCTTCTTGTGGCAGCTGGCTTATACTCATGGAGTCAAACATATTTACTAAGGATTCAGAGGTAACATAAATCACAGAAGAGCAGCATGGATCTAATCCCTGTCATGCTGGCATTTCGGCGTAACTGTGCTCTATTATTGTTAGATAAGAAAATTACAGACTTTGCTTTCCTTTTGAAGTCAAAACAAGGCATCTCTCACAAAGATAAGCATCTGGGGCCAGTCCCTCTCTCGGGGTTATCCAGTAGTCAGATGCTAACCAGGAACTTCCATTAATTTGGGTCTGTGCATTCCTCCCACCAGTTACTATCGTTTACAAAACATAGCCCCATTAGAAGTGAGTGATTTAATATGATGGATGTTCTGCCAGCATTAACACATGCTGATATGCTATGCTGATAGCAGCTGTAGCCTTCCTACAAGTCTAAGTCAAATAATGGAGACTCGCTCTTAACAAATCTATTCAAATAGACTCTTTTTTAATATGTTACAAAAACAAGACTGTTTTATGCCATGCTGTCTGGAAGCATAAACTGATTTGAAGGATCTGTGCCAAAGCCCAGTAAATCTACGGCAGGGATACTGCTCTCTTGCAGTATCGAGTTAGTACAGAATTTAGTGCACTTAACCACAAGGCAGAATTCACATTTTTGTCAGAATCTTTATGTTACAGCAGGACACCAACTTTTTTTACATCTGCATCTTTCAGATATTCCTTGAGGTTGTTTGGGAAATCTCAGTCCTCATTCTATCTTTAAACTCTATTTGCAGTAGGAAAGCCAGTGTTTTCACTGGGGTAGCTGTTTGAATGAAAAATTTAAAAATACAGTAGAGTTCTTTATTTTAAGATTGCATAAATCCACAAAGATATTCTATCAGAATAAAGTCAGAAAAGTGGTGACCACTTGAAACTGCAGGCTTGCTGAGAAATATATACATGTATTTAAAAAATGTAGTTTAAGAGATAAATAACCAATAGGTCCAAGCAAGCAGGGAGTCTGATAGGTTTGGAAATACTACTCCACTTAATGTAATGGCCCAGCTGCCACAGTTGACCCCAGTTATGGCTCTTATTTTACGCATTTATATTTTTGAAGCAAGTTTTACTAATAGTAAAAGTAAACACACTGAGAGCATTTCTAGTCAAAGTCAGAACACATCAGTGGAAAGCATAACACTGCAGCTGCGGGAAAATTCCAGGAGATGGAGACAACCTGAAAGTTCTGCAGGTCCATGGGCTTCGCAATACCTTATGACCAACTTGCTGATTTCACAAGTATGAGATAAACACACTACCTACTCTAAGAAAACAAAAGAAGTGTAGGACATTTTTTCTTGTATAAAATTAACTTCAGAATGTTCCAAACAGCATACAAATATTTACATGTGCATATATATATACACATACTGCCAAACACTGCAGTAGTGTCTCTTGCTTTTACCACATAAACTTCAAGGAAAGTAAAGTAAATTCAAATGTTGCAGAGCTAAAGGGAGCTTCCTGTTATCTTGTCACAGCCAAGGGAAGCTGTCATTACACAGCACTATACCAGCCACTTGAGCTCTGGTACTGAAACTAGTGGAACCTCACACACACAAAGTTGCCTTCTATGTCTGTGAGCTCACAGAATGAATTCCAAATACTAAATTGCACCTGTAAATTAGATCCTACGGATGTCCAAGGGCCATAAACTTTGGTGACAAAGCCACTGACTGAATCTCTGGCTCTAAGGCTAAGGTAAGCCTTGGCTGTTTCTCGTAAGTTAATGAAGTGAAAAATGTGCACGATGCAAATGCTTACTTGTCCATGTCAGTGTAGACCCACACCAAGTAATGGAACTTTTAGACTAAGGTAATGAAAATTTTGAGTTCTCAGATTTTTTGCTACTTGCTCTCTTTAACTGCTGCGGTAACATGCAAGTATTGATTGCTTAGGTTACAAATTCTGATAACCTGAAATTGTGACATCCCTTCAGGAGGTCAACACACCACTGCTCTGAAGACATACTAGCTTTGCTGGCCTGGGCTTCTCAGGAAGATTTCTTAGCAAGGTTCAGGAGGAGATACCATGGCCAACAATGCAACAGCAAACACACAATCAGAAACGGACTGCCCCCACAGGAGGACTTCAGATACACTCAACACCTGTTCAAAAACTTTACTTGTGCTTTGCAGGCTACTATCCATCACTAGATTGGACACTTTTTTCCTGTTTTCCCATAATTATGCAGCTCTGGTTATGTGGCGTTGTTACACTATCTGTATAATAAAAAGTAATTAAAAAATAGCAAACCAGGAAAATAAAAGTATTTCCCATATCTTTCCATCTCAA